AGTATTTAAACATAATTCCCACAGTTCAGTTGCATCTTTATATTCAGGAGATGTACGCTATAAAAATTATTACACATAACAAGAAGATTTCAACTCTACAAGTTTGTTTTTTATTCCTATACTAGATTATATTAAAACTTTGTTTCTAACATTTACCAAATATCAAACATGTATCTATTTTACTTTAAGTTCCGTAAGTATATACATCCTAATTCAGTTACAGAAAATAGACCTTAGAAATAACTATCAATAACAATAATTTATATTACACTAACGAGAATAAATCAATTGAGAGAAAAAACTTGTTTTTGGTCAAAGCAGATCTTAGCTTAAATAGTTCAAAGTGAATTTAAGTATATATCCAATCCTGTAAACTGCATATTGAAATCTTTTCACTTTGACAAACAATAATCAAACATCTCATGCATACTTTAATATCTATTTGAATAAATTGATACAAATAGAATTTAGGAACTTACCATATAGAAAGCTTTGGCATTGTTTACCATAAGCTGAATATCAGCAGCGAGATCGTCCATATCGCGATATTCGTCAGTTTTCAGCTTCTGCTGTACTTTCAACAGGTCTATGGGATTGGAAACGACCTCGTAATATCCTGGCTCCTGTCTACGTTTCGGCACGCGTATAAATGCGTCACACAGCAGGGATCCATCTTCCTTCTTTTGATTACGAAGTATTTCATAGAGTTGTTGGCACAAATCGCTCTGTACAAGTAAAAGGCTATTAGCAACGTATATTCCATGTATACAGCATACGCAATCTATGTACAAATATTAGGAGAGATCACGGCGCAGAAAGAAAGTGCGCTCGCACACACTCACAGGATCCAGTTTTTTCCTTCTCTTCGTCGGCTCGGGCGGGGTATCGTCACCGTCGTCCTCGGTGCCACGACTCGCCACCGAGGACGTTCTACGTCGCTTGTTCATCCTGAGGTATACCTTAAAAAAGTTACAAGGTATAAGATGATCCTTTAGCTGTGTATCTACAACAGAGCGCCGCTACATCGTCCGCAAAATGCTGTCGCGGTCGCGAAGCGAGGGCCGTTAGTTATCGTTGGTAGAGCACAAAATTTGTAAACAAATGTACGTGCGCATACATACGTTCACGTACGTGTGCGCGTATATGTACATAAAAAGGGTTCTTTAACTAAACGCAGGGCTCTTATTCGTCGTATCGTTACGTCGTTATTATCAGAGGCACACGTTGAGCTTATCGCGACGTACGGTGGGCCAGGTCTTGGAGATGAGGTTGCAGGATTTGCCTCTCACACACGTTCAGACCCACGTCTCGGCTGGTGCGTTAGTTAACTATTGCGAGTGAATTCCTCGAGGAGCGGGACGTCACGTATACACACGGGGGAGGGGAGGGGAAGGATGGCGAAAGAGAGAAAGAGAGAGAGAGACAGAGACACGCACGGACTGGCAGCTAAAAAAAATCACGCCGCCATGATAAGTCGCCACTGCGCTTCAAAACGCGGTCGACGTGCACGGCGCACCGACGTGGTGATTTCAAACGCGCCGTGAACAACGCATTTTCCGTCTCCATCGATCATCAACCGCACCGCGGCCAAACGCGTGCAAACGCGTTCACAACGGGACGCATTCACGCGTCTCCCCTCTCTCTTTCGTCCTCGCCCGGCATCGCTGCATTCCAACCGAAATTTGCCGCCATATCCGGAATGCGCGAGTCCGTGGCAGTCCGCATCGTCGCCACGGAATTCCAAGCCCGTCGAGCCGACGGCTATTCCAGATTCCACTCGATGTACCCACCGTTTTACCAACGTATCTCTTTCTCTTTCTTTTCTCTCTCTCTCTCTCTCTCTTTCTCTCTCTTCCTCCCCTCCCCTCTTCCGGATTCTCACCTGGCTCCTCGTGCCCTTATGAGAGGAGTTTCATTAATGCGCGAGACATTTGTATGCGCGAAAATTCCTTCGAAAAGGTGCAAAACACGAAGCGGACCGTGCTTCTCATCCGCGTTCCAGGGTGACACACGTCTTGGTCGACGCCATGCTGCGAGCGGCCGACAATTCCGCTGATCGTACAATAAAGGCCTCGCCGACCGCTCGGTACGTGGATCTTAGAGTTTCCCGTTTGTTCGACGGACTCCGTCTTTATCAACTGCACGGTTTTTATTACTGATCGATTAAAGAGACTCGCGGATAATGGAAGAACATTAACGACTGTTGATATATTATATCTATTGACCGATGATGTAAACATTTGGTTATTATTATCAAAGTTGAACAAAATTATATTTACATGGTATATTTACATATTGTTTACATGAAATTTACACAAATTTCTTTATGTAGACAATATTTATGCGCAACGTGATTAAAATATGTTAATTATTATAAATTGGATAATACAATATAGAAAGAAGCAATATATTCACAAAGTTTTATATGTGTTAATATATCTTGTTAATAAATAAAAATATATAATTGACCCTCACACCGTGTATACCGGGGACATTTGTGTCCAGGCTTTTTTCCAGGATTTTTAAAATTACAAATATTTTGAAAACAAGTGAGTACAAACGCGCCGTTCTGCTCCTAAAAAAACTTGTGGGGTGAAGGAAGATGCCCGTAAAGCCCAAGACACAGTACGAGGGAATAGCGATAGCGATAGGAATAACATGATTTCAACCTATCAGAAATCGGATATATCGGAATACGCAGTTTCTGATAGGTTGAAATCGTGTTATTCCTATCGCTATCGCTATTCCCTCGCATTGGGCGCGTTCAAGTTGACAAAGCGGCTAGCCTGCTCGCCGAACAAATGAACATAATTGGTTATTACTTATAGATCCAAC